ATGCATTTTCAGAAATAATTCAAAAATGAAAATGAAAACGTTTTCATTTCCATTTTCGTACAGAAAATAAAAACGCTTTGAAACCAATTCCAAACGCACCTGTTGAATCTCTGGGGGGACAATGGGGGCTGATTATCAGCCCCCATCAGGGCTGATAATAATCAACCCCCATTGGGGCTGATAATCAACCCCCATTTGGGCTCATGGGGGCTGACGATCAGCCCCCATTGGGGCTGATGAAGGATGATAATCAGCCCCCATCAGGGATGAAATCAGCCCCCATCAGGGCTGAAATCAGCCCCCATCAGGGCTGATTATCAGCCCCCATCAAGACTGATAATCAGCCCCCATTGGGGCTGATGGGGGCTGATAATCAGCCCCAATGGGAGGCTCCCAGGAAAAAAAAAAATGGAAAAAAATTCAGCAACTCAGATAATAAAAAAATTAGACAAAATACTAATCAAATCAAACGGAAATCAACCGATTTCGTTGAGTATATCAAGTCAAAATCATTATTAAAAAAACTCATAAAAAAAAACAACCAAATCAGCTAAAAAAACTCCAAAATCAGCTAAAAAAAACTCAACCAACTCAGACGGGAAGGAAACCAAATCAGAAAACGAATAACTCGGTAAAAAGAACCATACCTTGGTGAGAAGAGGCCGAGACGAGAACAGGAAGAACGGAGAAACCGGAGGAGCCCCAACGGCGCAAGTTAGGCGAGAAGGAAACCGGAGAAAACGAATCCGGCGAGAAGAACGGAGAAGCTCGGCCGGCAAGAAGGCTGAAGAATCTGGGCTGAATAATGGCTGAAGCAGAAAAAAAACTCAGACGGGAGAGGCTGAAGAGAAAACGGGAGAGAAAAGGAAAAGAAAACGAAAATAGAGAAAACAGGTTTTTTTTCGTTTTCTGATTTCCACAAAACGACAAAAACGTTTTTGTTTTTATTTTTTAAAAAAACTTGCACCAAACGCGTTTTTAACACCCGTTTTCAATTTTTTGCTTTGAAAAACGTAAAAAATGGAAATAGAAACAGAAACAAACAGGTCCAAAAGGTTTCCATCTGCATACGATATCATGTCAAAAATCATCTTACCACACCCTTTGTAATATATGTTTTGACATATCTAATCATCGATATGTGGTCCCTTTGAAAGATCTAATTTTTCCTTGTACAACTTCAACAGCTTCGGACTGTCCTCCTTATAAGGTGTGACAAACCTCTGCAAGAATTCCTTCTCTGAATCCATCAATAACGTATTCAAGTTAGCATCCTTCTCCACCAACCCTTTTGACAACAAAACTTGAAAAACCGAACACCTCGGGACTATTCTCTTCTTTAAACTCACTGTAAATATTGCTGGGAATTTAGCCAAATGGCAGGGTCTCCAACCTATTTGGTTGATGAAGATATCCATAGATGCCATAAGCTTATCTTTAGACACCACCATGCACCAAGGATAGGTTTGAAAGGCTTTCAAAACCTCTTCTTCAGACCAACCCACCCTTCTTATATGCGTTAACCTTACTTTCCCACGTTGATTTGCTTAAACAAAGTAGTGCAATCACTGCTTGAACAAAATTTGGCCTCTTTGCATCGAACCCCATTTCCACCGCTTCCTCAACTATCTTTTGGAACCGATTCGAACGTGCCGAGAAAGCTCGAGGCTGTTTCGCGATCAGTTTAGCTATATTGGAGTTAGGAACTCCACGTTCTCGCAGAATATCAATGTTACGGCCCAAACATTTCTCAACATTTGCGTTGAGTATATCCGGATATCTTTGGACAGCTGCAATGGCCATCTCATCAGACTGCAGAAAATTCCTAAGGAACTCATATGTGGGCATAATATGTTTATCTAAGCTCCTAATCAAAATAGTAGGGAATTTAGATAAACTTTTGGCAAATTGGGGCGATGAAATACCTTTGGCATCAAAAAACTCCAGCTTGGGCAAAATACTCTTTTCTGTATCGGCTAAAAGCAGTTGACTGTTGCTTCTGAAAATGCTTGATATTTGGGACCGAGAGAAACCATACTTCTCAAACAACTTTATGACTTTTTCTGGTTTCTCTGGACGCTCGAAGCTAACACGCTTGGAAACTGATAAGGCGGCTTATGAAGAAAACCCAAGTTCGTTTATGAGGTATGAGACAGTAAAAGAGTGTTGATTTGAGCTACTTGAGAACAATCTTAGAGTAAAAAAATCAGGGTTTCGAAGAAAACCCAGATTACTAGTTCCTGGTGAAGCTCTTACATAACAAATTCCAAATATAATGGTTTTTCGGAGAAAATTAGACATGGGTTTTGAAATTGGAGATGAATGAAATGAACTTACAAATTGTTGAGAGCCAAATGTCTCTGTTGCTGAACAGATCTTGAGCTTTAGAGGGGAAAGGGGAGGGAATCCAAGTAAAACCCAAAATTGGAAAAGAGACGCCTTCGATCGAATAAATGATTAATAAAGAAATTGGGTTTGAGGTGTCTACTCTATTATTTTCTTTTGAAAGAAACGACATATCGTTAATTTGTGTAGTTGCTTTTCCATTCTGATCGACGTTTCGTTGTAATTTATTAGCAAAACGAAATGTCATTTATGATGGAGGCTTTTCTTTTTCTTTCTTCTTTTTTTTTTCCCTCTTAAAAAGTTAATGGTGGCATCTAGTGTAGATGTAGTTAGGGATGGCAGCGGAAGTGATGTACCATTCCATCCTTACCCTTTCATTAAGGAGAGGTGGGGGCGGAGTTCATACCCACCACATTTTTCATCAAATGTAATTAAATATTTTAAAATTATTGTAACTTAAAGTAAAAATACGGTAGAAATTCACTAAAAGTTTAGGTCAAAATCAAAAATTATACAAATCAAATTCAAAATATATACAAAAAAAAAAAAAAAAAAAACCTTAGCTATAGAGCCAAGAGAGGTCTCATAATTACCTCTTTTTTCTAGTTGACTTTTTTACCATTAAAACAGTAACCTTTTGGCTGTGTTTGAAATTGATCCCGTTTTTATTTTTCACATTTTTTAAAAAAGAAAAAATAAAAACGTTTTCAAAACAGTATTTGGCGCAATAAAGACAAAAAACAGAAATGAAAACGATTTTTTAGTTTAGACATTTTTAAAAATAATTTATGTCTGAGATTGAAAACGTTTTCATTTTCATTTTCACACAAAAAACATAATTATTTTAAAACGAGTTCTAAACGCGCCCTTTATTTTCTTAGTAAGAAATGATATAAAAAATTCTAATATAGTATTTATATTTATATAAAATATATTATGTATATCGGGGTGAGAGCGGGTGGGGAGGGCTTCCTTCGTCTCCATTCCACTAAGATTTAGAGACAAAATTTTATCCCTATTTTTTATTATTATTCTTCATTCTCACGTGTTAGGTGCAAATTCCCGCAGAGATCCGTCCCACAGGGAATATTGCCATGTCTAGATGTAGTTAAACCTAGATGTCGTTTTGGGAAACAAGAAAGATGTCTTCCTTTTAGTTTTTTTTATTGTTATTATGAGTCCTTTAGTTTATTTGGTTCATAGGTGAACATAAAATTTGAAAAAAAAAAAAAAAATTTAAGAGAGGCACACTAGCAAAACTTGTCTATAGAATATGTGACAACCATTCCGTATCTTTTTGTAAAATGAAATTATTTTTTCTTATAGCAAATTATGTCATTTAAACTGACAGCTAAAACATCTTTTTTATTTAGGTGGTGTTTAGTATATAAGTTCTATTACAGTAAATTCATGATTTTAATTATGTTAAAACATTTTTTTCTCATAAAAAAATTTAAAATTTTAAAAATTATAATCAATAATTTTAATTTAAATTCATATATTAAACGGCCCTTAATGACTGAAGTACGTGATCTAGAATATATGGTCGTTTTTTTACGTACAAAAAGGACAGTATAGGAACAGTGTAGATTATTGACAAGAAAATAACATACACTGGTCTTTTTACAAAGTTCATGCACCTTTCTTGTTTCCTTCACTTCGTAAATTTAGAATAGCATAGTAAGAATTAATTTCTTTCTCGAGAAAAATGATTACAGAATAGATTAAGTAAGATAATTTTTAGACAGTATCTGCAGTAAAGCTTATGAATGGACATGTAACACGTCGCTTTACTTCTTTTTGCAACATAATTCCCAAGTCCTTACACCTTAATAAAATAAATAAATAAATAAACTTTTAAAGGTGCGTTTGAAACTCGTTTTAAAATAATTGTATTTTTTATATAAAAAACGCCGTTTCTCTCCCATTTTTATTTTTTCTTTCTCAAAAACGTGACAAACAAAATAAAAAACAACTCCAACAATTCTGAACACAGCCAAAGTTTTCCTAAAAATAACAAGGAAATAGTAGAAAATAGACCAATATGAAAAGCTTAAGAAAGTATGTAGGCCAATTTTTAGTTATAGAAATTAATAGGTTCATAACCAGATAAGTTATGGACAAATTTATCAAGTTATGGTTCATAGCCAGACAAGTTATGGTTCATAACTAGATAAGTTATGGACAAATTTATCAAGTTATGGTTCATAGCCAGAAAAGTTATGGATAATTATGGACAATAACTTATCAAATTATAGTTCATAACCAGATAAATTATGAACAAAAATAGTAATTAAGTCTATTTATTAACTTACGTAAACTATTAACCTATTAATTTTAATTAATCTCTGGTTTATTTCCCTCTTTCTCCCAAAATAACAGCACTGCAACGACATGTCGTTGGGTGGATTACATGCGGCCCAGAGATAAAAATCGGTCCATCCAAAGGTGCTGAAGTTAAGCCCATCAAGCCCAAGGCCGTATTATAAAACGAAGTCGTTTCATTTCACTTCGTGGCTTTCTCAACGAACGATAAATGATCAACTTAAAAGTAAATAAAAAAAGATTTTCAAAACCGAGGCAAAATATATGAATTTATTTGGTATTTATTTTAAAGTTTCGCGGTTATGCCCTCAAATTCCCCCAGTCTTTTTTTTCTTCTTCTTCTTCACCAATCACTGTTTCGTCGTCTTCACGATCTTCTCCTTCTCTCTCATTCCACAGCTCGTTTTCTCCGGCGCTCTTCTCCGATCGATTTCTCCGTCTCCGACCGCTTCTCTGATTTGATCGGTGAGCACGGCGTTTTCAATTTTGCCGATTTTGTTTTCGTTTTCTCGAAAAATTCTCGGATTCAGGAGCTTCAAAATCGTGTAATGGCGAGAATTTTTTGTTCATATTTAGTTTTTAGGGGTTTTGCTTTCCGTTTGGTTGCTGAGAAAACTTAGGGCCAGAGAAGAGTTGCGATTTTCCCTCTTTTTTTCGGTCCTTTCTTGCTCTCGAAGCATGAATCGGTGGTTTGCTTTAACGCTTGGGTCTTTTGTGAGTTTCGCGTTTAATTTAGGTTTTGATTCTTGTTTTTTAATTCGAGTTATGGCGTCTCGGATAGTGAGAATTCTCGGATTCGAGTGTGGATTTTCTTTTCCTACTTGTTTCTGGGTAGACAAACATTAGAGCTAGGTCATCTGGTTAGCCGGAGATTAACGCTGTTCTCCGATGAGTTAGAACAGATATTTCTTGATTGGTTTGTTGTATAGACTTGGCGGGAAAGTTAACAAATGGCGAAGACGAAATAAATAAATTAAAAGTGAAAATTTGAAGCTCATTGTACAATGCCTGGATTTGTTTGTCTTCTGTGCTGTAATATGAAATTTGATGTTGCTTTCTTTGTTTACTTTACTGGTTATTGTTTCAGAAAGCCAAGGAAGTTCGGCATGGCCCCATCGAAAAGATCAAAGGGTGGGACTAAGCGGTTTTCTTATATTAGTGAAATTTCTCCTAACAAGCCCAGAGAGAATGCTAAGAAAATGAGACAAAAGGTTGTACTGACTTTTCTCACCGGTTAATGGTGTTCCATTCGTTATTTCATGCTTATTGTTACATGGTGATGCTTAGAAATCTGATCATATAGATATGCATGTATATACACTCCTTTCCGTTATAATTTATTGGACATGCATTTTTTTTTTCTTTTTTCTATTTATTTTATGATGATTTAGTTGCTCATTTTGGCCATATTATAGTCTTACCGAGAACATCTATGATGATTCCTTTTCACCAAATAAGTTAGGAACAAACCATTTTTCATAGACCTGTTATGCGTTGAGCCAAAGCATTTTGATTGCTCTTATCTACCTCTGGTCCTGAAAAATTCCTGAAAGAAAGAAGAAACGCTTTTTATTTCCTTAAATCTTGATCCCTTTGTGTTCTCTCTTTTAGTTTTTAAGAACTTGTTTAAAGTGCCGAATTTCTTATTTTGGTGTATTATATATACTGAAACCTGGAATTTTGAATTTCGTCTGTATGAAATCTACAGACATCTAAGGGTGGCAATTCGTGTTAGTGGATCATATTCGTGTCAATCCGTTTATTAATCGTGTTAGAAAATATCAACCCAAACACGACATGTTTATTAAATGTGTAAAAAATGTCAATCCAAACACGACCCATTTATTAATCGTGTTAATCGTGTCAACCCGTATAACCTGTTTAAATTAATATATTGAATAAATAATTAATATAATAATGACTTATTTAACACGGTCAAGACAGGTTTAACATGTTTATTGGTCAATTTATCTTTTCCTAAAATAGATCTTCTCTTTCCTCCTTAATATTACACAAATTTGAAATCGGTAAAACTTAAGATGATGGTCTTTTTGTTTGTTTTCCTCCTTCTAAACTGTGCAGAAGAGGAAGTTGTCTGACTTGTTAGGGCCTCAATGGAGCAAGCAAGAGCTTGAACGTTTTTATGAAGCATACCGCAAGTACGGGAAAGATTGGAAGAAGGTTAGAAAATATCTGATGAGGTCATGGCTCGTGTGTTTTAATATGTACATCTAGATGTAAATGAACATGTAGCGCACACTAAATTCATTCGGTTTGCAGTGAAGTTTTGGGACAGCCACTTGTCTACATATTCTTGGGGCGGGGGGTTCCCCTGTCACTGCATTATTGGAACATTGTCCACAATTATTCTTTACCCTTGCCCAATTTTAGTGTTTTTTTTTTATAATTAAGATGGTCTCATTTTTCAGGTGGCTGCTACAGTTCGTAATCGGTCTGCAGAAATGGTTGAGGCCCTTTACTCTATGAATAGGGTATGCTGCTTAAAATTATCATGCTAGATGTGCTTTGTGTTTCTATTTTATTCAACATTATTGTCCAGCTTCTCTAGTGCAGTAGAATTGTGAATATGACTTTTAGGAGGCTTCTGTTCTCTTGGAATTTATTTAAAACATGTTGATTTAGGTTTTTTCTTTATTTCCAGGCCTACTTATCTCTTCCTGAGGGCACTGCCTCTGTGGTTGGACTAGTAGCAATGATGACTGATCATTACTGTGTACTGGTGGGTTAAGATCTCCATTATTAACTTTCAAAACTTAAAACTTTCTGGTGCTAATGTTCTCATCTGGTTAGTTTTGCTAACACTTGCGGGAATGGCCTGTGTACAACTAAGATAAGTGGCTTTTGACGTACCAGGGAGGAAGTGAAACTGAATCAGAAAGCTATGGGCGAGGAGGGTCTCGAGAACCTAAAAAGCGTGCGCGGGGGAAGTTTCAAGGTTGTGCCTATAAAGAATCAGATGAGCATTTTCTAGATGTTTCACAATCCCACTCAGTTTCACCAAGTAATGGATGCCTGCCATTGTTGAAGAAGAGGCGGACTGGTGGGAACAAATTCTTTCTACTTTTAGTACTACCTTTTAATCCTTTCAATCCGTAGATTTTGTACGTGTATGAAATATATATAGCATCCAGGCCAATGGAATAGTGCAAAACAACGGTGTACAGCATACCAAGATGCAAATTCTTTTGTCCGTTTTTACTGATTTTTTTTTAAAACTATTTGATTATTATTTAGTCATAACTTCATTATGTCTGTTGTAAATTTTCTTTTTAGGAATTGTGTCTCATGCTGTCCGGAAAAGAACTCCTCGTGTCCCTATTTCACATCCTGACAATGACGTCTCACCTGCTGCTAAGCAGAACGTGAAACTCAAAATGGATGCTAGTGATGACGATGTTGCTCATGAGATAGCAATGGTGCTGACTGAGGCCTCTCAAAGAAATGGTACACCCCATGTTTCTCGGATGGCAAATAGGAAACCAGAAGCTGCTATATCTTCACCACATCAAGATGGTGAAAGGATGGTAATATGAAACTGTCACGGAGTTTCTTTTATTTAATGACATGTGTGTGTATTTGTTCACAATTCATTTGGCATTTAGAGGACTGAACCAGAAATAACCGGTGCAAAGTTTCATCATACCAATTTTCAGGACGGTCATTGCAAAAAGCTAGAAGTTGAAGATGATGCAAATGATTATTTGGATAACATGAAAGAAGGCTGTACTGGAAAAGAGAAACAAAATTTAAGTGCTGTCAAGAGAAAAACTCAAACTGAAATTATGAATGTGGAAAGTCCGAGGTCCCTTTCAAAGGGTTTAAGGAAGAGAAGTAGAAAATCTCTTTTTGGAAAAGGTTAATAAATGTTTTCAAGCCATTTCCTTTACCCTTTTGTCTCCCTCTTTTTAGTAGTATCTTATATACTTTTTTTTTTTGAAACAGCTTTTGTTATAATGTTCTGTTAGCTGCCATTTTTACCTTTTGTCCAATTCTTTTAAACATATGTAGATTATTATTTTTCATTTGGACTATTTTCTTGGGTAGATGAGGACTCTCCCTTTGATGCGCTTCAAACTTTGGCAGATCTGTCTTTGATGATGCCATCAACAATTTCTCCTACTGGTTAGGCATTTATGTTCTGAAAATTTGCTTTTTAGTGGTAGTTATGCAATAGACAATAGCTATTTATAGCTTATCTGTCATTTACGTATCCTTATTTAAAGGGTGACAAACATATATGCAATGTGGCTTCTCTTAACTATTAGTGCTTATTTGACTGAAAGATGGTTTTTTTCCCCTCTTCTTTTTTTGTTCTAAGTAGAGTCATCTGCAAAAGGCAAGGAGGACAAGACCAAGGTTGGTAGCCATGTCTCAGACACTGGAATACAGAAAAGGAGACAGAAGTCCTTCCCACAGAAAATTAGGAAAGTAAGTTTGTTGAAACAAAATTTATCAGTTTCCATTAAATATTTTCCTTAACAAATCTGGCCGATATGGAATGACTGAGAAAATGCACGTCTCTTATTAGTTGCATATATATCAATATGAAGATAAAGCCCAAACTGATTCCCATCTTAGTGACCAGATTGATGGGTGTAATTTCACGCTGAAGGCTATGACTAAAGTCATATTTTGAAAGAATCTACCATATGATCTTACTTTTTCCTCGCAAATAAAAGGCCTAACATAACAGGGATTGGGCTTTCTTTGGTCATTTTAAACTGTTTTTGGCACTAAGAAACAAGTGGAAATGTTTTGTTTCTTTCTTTAGCTCCTATTGAAGTGACAGCTTTTATTTCCTTCAAACTATTGTATTCCTATTGCATCCTGTGATATGGGTTGCGCGTTTTGTTTTCGTTAAAGATCATACTGTTATATTCCTGTTGCATCTTTTGAGTTTGGGTTGCAATGCACTTTGCACTTGATTTCAGGCTTCAGACGAGGCACAGAGGTCTGTGTTTAAAGGAAAACGGTCTTCTCATAATTCTGCACACCAAGGAAAATCGGTGAAACCTTTGGACCATACATCGTCAGATACCAATTGTAAGAGGGAAGTGAATGATTCTGCTTCCCTTATGACAGAAGTTCCTTCTAGAGACCAGTTAACAAAATCGAGGAGTGTATGGAAGACATTTGTTTCAAAAGATACAAACTCTCCTGTACAAGTTTTGGATGGTCAACCTAATATAGCTGTTCCTTCACTTCTCAGAAGAGAACTAAATCCTAAGGTTAATCCCGCTTGAATTATTATTATTATTATTATTATTATTATTATAGTTGTTGTTGGTTGTGATAGTGTGCCTTGGATATTTGAATTTTGTCTAATACTTATGTTTATTTTGCTTACAGAAAAGCCTTTCTAATTTCTTATCACGGTATCAAGCACGGAGATGGTGTGCTTTTGAGTGGTTCTATAGTGTCATAGATTACCCGTGGTTTGCTAAAAGTGAATTCATCGAGTACCTGAATCATGTTGGCATGGGTCATGTTCCAAGATTGACTCGTGTTGAGTGGGGTGTGATAAAAGGGTATTTTCTATTCAACCTTTTGTTTTTTCAGTTAATATTTGTTGTGCTTCTGGCAGATTATTAACTAGGTTACACAGTGGTTAATTTGCGTATTTTGTTTATGCAGTTCTCTTGGCAAACCACGGAGATTTTCTGAGCACTTTTTGAAGGAAGAAAAAGGGAAGCTTAATCAATACCGAGAGTCTGTTAGAACACATTATGCTGAACTTCGCACTGGTACCAGGGAAGGACTTCCAACTGATCTAGCTAGGCCTCTATCAGTTGGACAACGTGTTATCGCAATACATCCAAGAACAAGAGAGATGCATAATGGAACTGTTCTAACTGTTGATCACAGTAGGTATCATGTGCAGTTTGACCAGCCCGATCTAGGAGTTGAATTTGTCATGGTAATTCTTTCACTGCTCCATCATTTTTCAAAATCATCATGTTTTCTCTTTTTATTTAGTTTATTTTTCTGGTAAGAAAATGTAAGCCAAGAATTTTTTTTTTATTTTTTTTATTTTTCTCATCACAGGACATTGAATGCATGCCTTTAAATCCAACAGAAAACATTCCAGCATCCTTCAGAAAGCGTAATCCTTTTGTCAACAATTTTTTTGAGAATTTGAAGGAGCTCAAAATCAATGAGCAGTTGAAAGGAGGAAAGACTGATGAGTACATCAAGGCTGCCTTGAGTTTGAACCAAAATAATAATGATAGACTTTATGTTTCCCCATCAAGTGACGATGTTGAAGAATTTTTAAAGTGCAAAGAGGTTAGTGGCTCCTTCAGTTTAAGAACAATGTTGGCTATGGGCAAACATTTGGTATGTTATTTAGTTTATTCATTGTTTTTATCAGATGCTTTTATTTTATTTTTTTGATAATTGAATCATAATGCATGCTCTTACTTCTTAGTTATAGTAGATTGGTGTGCTTTCAATGTCTAGAAAATGGACCCGTCCGTGTTATTGTTCATTTTCATCATTCTAATGACGTGATACCTTTTCTATGGGACCATGACTATGAACTTCTTCTGTTCTTCCTCTTCTCTGACTTTTAGACTTTTCTCTCCGAGCATTACCATGGTGCTCGTAAAACGATAATAAATATCATCATAGTCTCGTCATTCTCTACAAGTGAAACATGTTTTGGTGGAACCGGAAAATAAAGCTGCTTTGTAAGAGTCAAAATGAATACCTATAAGTCATTGAGTGGTCATTTTCATAAAAAATCAAACTGCATATATTTAGTTAGTAGATGATGATGAATATTTATATGTCATTATGTGGTGTTTTTTTTTTTTTTTATATTTCGGGTGGATGAATATTTTTAGGGATAAAATCATTTTGGTACCTTATGTTATAGCGAAACATGCTCTTGATACCCTATATTTTGGATAAGATTAAAGTGGTACCTTGACGTGTTTGAAAACATCTTCTTAGTACCCAGAAACTGATTTTTGGGACGTGTAATGTCCAAACTGCCCTTATAAATTAAATAGAAATCATTGCCCATATTGTTTTAAAAAGATCTAAAATATTTTAAAACATTAAAATGTTTAGAAGAAAACAACAAAATAAAAGTTCATGATTTTTTTCTAGATTTATTAGTTTTTGGTTAATTAAATAGAAGGGTAATAAGGTCATTTTACGTCTCAAAAATCAATTTCAGGTTACCAAGAAGTTGTTTTTGAAAACATTGAGGAACCGTTTTAATATTTTCAAAAACACAGGGTGCTAAGAGCATGTTTCGATGTCACACGGTACCAAAATAATTTTATCCGATATTTTTATATCATTACGTGGCCATTTTCATCATTCTTAAAGTGTTCAATAATTTGAACCTTCACTTTGATAATATGTTGTGGTACGAATGCATTTTCACCTTTCATCTATTGGGCCGCATTTTGTCTGTTATCGTCTGTCTTTGCTGATCATTCGAAGCAATTACCTGTTAAAAACGGGTCTGGTGTGGCTTAAAGTTCCATAGCAGAAAACCAAAATGTAGAATAATATCACATTGTTGTCTTAGAAATCATTTCTCAACGGTCAATCATTGTTTTGCTATTTGTAAGCTAAACTTGGGTCCTGTTTTAAACTACTAATATGCAGAAAATAGCCTCTGAGCCTCCATCCGTTTCACAGATCCGGGCAAAAGAAGCTGATGTACAAGCTGTTTCTGAGTTAACTCGTGCTCTTGACAAAAAGGTTCTATTCCTTAATGCGTAATTAATCTACCAGTTTAGATGCTTATTCTAGTAGAATACTTCTTTTAAAAAAACCAAAGGAATGGAAATTCCAAGTCGATTGCCAACTTTGGAAGTCCATAACTGAGCTGATGAATCGTGTTAAAACATGTAGGAAGCTGTAGTATTTGAGTTGAAGCGCATGAATGATGAGATCTTCGAAAAGCAAAAGGATGGAGACAACCCTCTCAAGGATTCTGAATCATTCAAAAGACCATATGCTGCTGTACTGTTGCAATTGAATGAAGTCAATGAGCAGGCATGAATTACCAGACCTGTTTCCGTTTCCAATCGTCTTCCTCTGTCATGCTGCAATTAGCTGATTTTTCCCCTTTCATATGCAGGTTTCTTCTGCTCTATCTCGCTTGAGACAACGCAACACATATCAAGGAATCTCCTCTCCTACATTATCAAAGCCTGTGGTTAGTCCAAGTGACCCTGATGGTCGTGCAAGCTCTTTGGGCGGTTCTTATTACAACATCCGAGAATGTGGATCTCAGGTGGCTGAAATTGTGGAAAGTTCAAGAATGAGAGCCCAAAAACTGGTTGGCGCAGCTCTGCAGGTATGAAGAGGTTAGGAAGTGCTACTTTTGTGAAGTGACTTTATGCAGTTTTGCTTACCGTGCAATGTGTTTTTTTTTTTTTTTTAGGCAATCACGCAGTGTGATAATAAAAACCTTATATGTTTGCCTGATTAAGTTGCTTTTAGTTCTTACACGTTCCAAAAAAAAAAAAAAAAAACAGAGTTGCTTTTACAAATGGTTCAGACTTTCATGGTTTGACAATCTTGCAAGTTGCAACTATAAGACCGTTCCATCAGCCATAGTGATAGGGCTAGCTTTATCTTGGTCAAATATATATGCACTAGATCAAGTTCCTTCTATTTCTTTCTATTATTTTTCCCTCACAATAGAACATGCCCACAGTAGTATACTTGGTAGATTAAGCTTTCTTAGATTAAGCTTTCTATATATATATATATATATATATATATATATATTTGGTAGATTAAGCAACTGAATATTGTTGCTGACGCTGCTAGGTATGTATTTATGGTATTGGTCTAGTTACTAATAAAATAACTTTTCACATTGCTTCGCTAATGATGAAGTTCTTTCTCTCTTTATCACTGTTTCAGGCCATCTCATCTTTAGAAAAGATGGGGAAAAACTTGGAAAGAGTTGAGGAGGCTATAGACTTTGTAAATAATCGGCTTTTAGAAGAGGACTTTAGTATGCCAGCCGTGAGAAACTCTACCCATAAAGATTCAGTAGTGACTCCTTCAGAACAGTTACCTGCGAGTGCATCAACGGTATCGGCAACTAGTCCAACACCCGACCCTAAGTTGAATTCCATATCCAACCAAAATGAACCAAATATCCCTTCAGAACTTATTGCACGCTGTGTAGCTGCTTTGCTCATGATTCAGGTAACGTAAAATACGTTGCATAAACTTCCATTTTTGGATAATAGTAGAATGTGTTGATTGTTGTTTGTTATGCAAAGAAATATATATATATATATATATATATATATATGTGTGTGTGTGTGTGTGTGTGTGTACCTATGTTTTGTTGTTGAGAGAAATAAATTCAAAAGTCGGATTCTGATCGATCTTGTGAAACAAAATGCAGAAATGTACAGAACGGCCGTTTCCACCGGCGGAAGTCGCCCAGGTGCTAGATTCTGCTCTCACAAGCTTGCAGCCACTTTGTTCACAGAACCTTTCTCTTTATGAGGAGATACAGAAATTCATGGGTATTATTAGGACTCAGATATTGGCACTTATACCCAGATAAATTCACGCTAAATATTTTTATTTTTTAATCTGTAACTTGTAAAGCGGATTTAACCCCCGATTTTTTAACTGTGATGCGTGATGTATAGCCTATCACTAGTCATATACCAGTAATCAGCAGACAACTAAAATTTTTTTTTTTTCTCCCTTTGCTGTTAAGTTATATTATATTATATTCAACACAAACTAACTCTGCCTGCCACGCGTTTTAAGTGTCATAGAATATTTGCACCAAAACGAGCATTTGGTGTAGCATTGCGTAATTGTTTTTAATGTCTATTTTGCAAGAACACTTTTTAAGTGAAGAGTCTCGCGTAAGGCTAAAATATTCCAACGACCTCAAAAGAATTCTAAAGGTTTGATGTTGATGTTGTGTACTTCCAACGTGCAAGTTTTGAGCGGTGTAATATCAAAAAGAAAATGAAGAGGAAAAGAATGCCAAAGCTACTGCCTACTGCTTCATCAGATGTGCACGTAAAAATGGCATATCCTAGCTCTTTGAAAGCCCATCTTTTCTGTTGACTTTTATCTATTGCTTAACAACGATCCAATTAGCATGCCCTTAAAATCCTTAACGACATTATTCTCAATTTAAGAGCCCGTTTAATTCGCTGATTTGAGTTTATAATTCGAATTGAGATATGATTTTATGTGAAAATTTTTTATTATAGCAAAAAAATTAAATGTAACTATTTTTAAGAACTTTTTACTGTAGCAAAACTCGAATTTTAAATTCAAATCGGTGAAATAAACGAAACTTAAAACTACATACATCAAAACATAATTAAGACACGGACAAATTGCATTTTCATATACTGAGGTCTTGTTCATTTTGCTTGTTCGAGTTACAAAGTGAATTCATATGAATTTGCTTCAGAAATTGGGTTATGATTCGAACTAACGAAATTAACGAGGCCTAAAAACGCAAGTTTAGCCCCAAAAAAAAATTAACAAAACGTATTACTGCCAAATTCTCTTTGCTTTTATGCAAAAAGCTTTTCCATGCATCATAACTCGATCTCAAAAAGGGGTAGCGAAAGGAAAAATGATTTCCACATAATGTGTCTAAGAATTGAAAGAGAAAAGCTAATCTCATAACTAGAGTTGAGAAATATGCTTTCTAAAGCCTGTCACTACCCATTCCATTTTTTACAAAAGGCAAAAACAACTCAAAACTTGCTCCCAGCTTTTGAAGCCATAAATTAATTTTCACCCGAAACCCCATATCTTACAGCAATCACAATTTCAACTTCTTTTTAGGCTTTTTCATTACAGCACACCCTTGATCCTCCACTACCTGCTGCATAATACACTTGTTAGTGGTGAAAGGCCACAGAAACACGAAGTAAATAACAAAGGGGAAAAACCGAAAAGATCAACGAGTAACAACCTTCCGTCTTTTGTTTTTCTTCTTTTTTTTCTTCTCCTTTTTCTTGCGTATCTTTAATTCAGAACTTTCCGCGTTCTCTTCTACAAAAGAGTCCTGCACGTTTGTAACCATTTGAAAAATGCCATACAGAAATGCTTTTAACAGATATTCAGAGTCCGAAAAACAGGGATGAAGCAAGGCACCTCAGCGTCGTCATCAAAGGAGTCTACGTGTTTAATATTTCTTCCTGAACTTGAAGTACCACCTGATTTTGACAGTAAAAACAAATAATATCCATAATTATAACGATTTGGTTTACCTTTGAAACAAAGTAAAAGAACATATGCATATGGGGAAATCAACCCAACCATTCACATGGACATAACAAAAAATCTACATATGACATGAAAAGCAATTGGCGCTGCCCAATATTTGGTGCTTCATAGTTAAACATGGATAAATGGACATAAAAAGAAGGTAAAATTTTCTGAAGCAAGTTACTCATGGAGTTAAGGCCCATACTAGCAAAGCACTACTCCGAAATGTTCTATAGATCCAGAAATCCTGAGTTTTGAGCCTCTCTAAAAGGATACTCTGAACCCAACACTCAGAACCCTCCGACAGGCTTATAGACTATCTCATTAGTCTTTGAACCGAAAACAAAGTTACTCATCGACATCGGAAATTCAGAAATCTTATAGCTCCAACTTAAAGCTTCATATATATATATATATTCAATAAACCTTATATTTTCTTCCTCCTACTCAAATCGTAGGCTTACTGAATGCTTCATCTCAGTCTATATAAATAGCTGTAAAAGACCAGTACGATTCAAACAAAAATGGGAGTAAAGGAAAAACTGAAAAAAAAAAAAAAGATTTAAAATTCAAAAGAGCAAAAGCTTTGGAAAATTACTTGCAAGAACAGTGTCTTTGGCGTTTTTGACGGCGAGTTCAAGAAGATCAGGGTTTATGGAGGCCAAACCATTGGGATCCTGAAGCTTTCTCTCCAGAAACTTCGCTAAAGCCGCCGCCTTGTTCGTCGTCAATGGTCCCCCTGGATGAGACAACCTATTTTTTTCTCTTTAATTTCAACTTCCATTGCACAACTCCAAACACTACGCACTCAAAACCAAAAAAAAAAAATACAACTTTTTCTCATTCATAAGAACTTTATTTTCTTGGTGGAGTAAAACCCTAGTGGATGTATTAATTCATGAATTTTTATATTCAAATCAAGACAAAAACAAAAAAGAAAATGAAAAATCTGATTTCTTTGATTCAAAAACCCCAAAATTGAATGCGAAGAAATAATGAAACCCTAGAAACCTGGGTTGGGAACGAGAAGAGGAGGGCAAAGACGGAAGAGGTGCGAATTTACTTCCTCTGAGAGCTTTCTTCTCTTCTTCGCTTAGCTCTTCCGTCTTCTTCATTTTCATTTTCTTCTTCTTCTTCTTCTTTGATCTTTCTCTGGGCGGTTCAGTTTAAAATTAGGTTCTCTTATAATAAGTTGTTATTTGTGGAATTAAGAAAGTCAACTATCATCTTTTGACCGTCGTTGAAGGCTTTTTTGCTTCGAAAATTCTTTGTTGCCGTATGGCATTAAAATTAAAAAGTGATCATAATATTTAATTAATACCCTTTTAACTAATTGGTTAAAGGATATTAATAAAAAAAATAATAGATAAAAATTTAATATTTATGCAATTTAAAAAATATTTGTCTCTTTTTCTCTTCTCCAAACCGTGCATCTCAAATTTTAAAATGAAAAATAATTCAAAACGCTACGCGTACTAACTTTTATAAATGCTTCGTGAATTACTGATTGTGCCAACGTACCCCCCTATGAGACTAGAAAGTGTCACCTCATATTTTTGCTCGTATTATAGACAAAAGGTGTATTTTCAACAATTTCTAATAGTTACAGTTTTCAAGTTTGGGAACACGTTGAATTAGGATACACACTCCAAGGACATTTCTAAAATTAATCCTTCTAAGGATTATGTAGTCGCACTTCTTCATATTCTGCTCTTAGTGCAATACGACGGTTGACAATCTCCTAAATTCGCCAATTCTTTTTGTTTCTTTTATTCCAGTTAAATGCTTTAGCATCAAATATTAACAATGCATTCGTGTTTTGCTCATTTGACCTTCACTCGACATTAGTTGACCATAGTTTTCCCAAGTTGAAGATTATATGTTTTTGGAGATAAACTAAACAGTCTAAAACATTGTCTTCAAAAGGACTAAACTACGCACACGCCCCCCCCCCCAAAAAAAAAAAAAAAAAAAAAAAAAAAAAAAAAAAAAAGGTGAAACATAACCAAAAAAACAATTACAGGTTAAAAAGTGAGCATAACACAGAATAATTTTAAAGGTTAAAAAGTTCTTCCACCCCCACAATTTTGGCACATGATTTCTTCATGGTGACAAAGAACTAATACAAGGTCCCTGCTATCCAGTAATTCCATCTACACATCAGCAGCACAATAAGGTCAATAAAAATAAGATTAAAAAGAAAAAAAAAAAAAAAAAAAAAGGGGGGGGGAAAAACCAAAAAAAAAAAAAAAAAAAAAAAAAAAAAAAAAAAAAAAAAAAAAAGGGGGGGTGAAAAACCAACAAATTTTTGGAGGAAATCAAACCCTCTCAATTTACAGGCCCTTTTTCTTTCTTTAGCCTAATATCCTAAAAAACCAGGCGACAGAAGCAAAGAGGCCAATCCAATTGTATATTTCCAATGAAATGAGATCAAAGTCACCGACCAAGTACTGGATTCTCTAATGAACAGTTGGGTAGGTCACGATTTTCGAAAACCAGGTTCGGAGTCGAAAACCACTGCCATAAAACTCCTTTCTCATTTGCAGCCACTGCTTTGATCTAACCAAGCAAGAACTTGAAGATGTCGCTCAATGAAACGATGCCCTCAACCCGCTTACTTCCAGCCTCCACAATAACAAGCCGTCTAACACCTGAAAAGAACCAAGAGAAACATTACGAACAATATTCATCAAGGTACACATGCAAAGCGAGAAAGGACGTCCACACGCGCATTCTGTTTAACCTCGTATTGACCATTGTCAAGACCCCCATGGGGATTAGACATTATCACCTCGAGAAATGGAATTCCAATATGAATAAAGCAATGATACTGATGAAACATCCGGGGCTCAAATAAGACGACGAGTAGGAGAAAGGAAAGTTAAGATTACCTGGATTTGCCAATCGTTCCATCACTTTATGCAGTGAATCAGAACGCAAGCACATCTGACATCTTTGACTCTTGGGTTCAAAAGGAGAATACGAATCTTGTCCAAATTGCAGTGCCTACAGATCAAAAGGCAAAAAAGTTACGGGGTAGTTATTTCCAAGCCACCTTGAAACGCATTTTGCTCCCAAAATATATATCCAAAAAAAAAAAACCACTCAGCAACATATCTTCATCAACATCTTCTTTGGCACCACAAATCTTAAACCAACTTTTCTTACCGCTCTGTTGAAAATTCCAAAACAAAACTATGCAACAAAATAATATCTCCAAATATTAATGATTAATATTGCAACTTTTTACGCAGCAATCTTAAATTCAAAGCTTATATACATATGCATACATACATATATATACAAATCTTGATTTCAAAGCAAAATCATCAATTGCGTCTGCTGAAAATTCAGAATTCCAACAATTCTAAGAGATCGAAAAATTTTGACAAGTCAACAATCAGATTACACTTTTACAGACCAATTTACAACAGATACGGATAACTTCAATTTGTTATAAAATACGCTACACAAAAAAATAAAATAAAATAAACAGTGGTTACCTGATGAATAGTCATTTCGTTAAGATTAATATGTGTATAGGCTCTATCTTTAGCCAAAGCTGTAATATCGCTGTAAGGGAAAAATAAAATAAACAACAAATAAACATCCCTCCAGAGAATTGTAAACGAGTTTAAAGAACAAAACACAACATAATCAGTCAGCAACAGAAGATTGAAACATTGACTTGGATAAGAACTGACCTCCGACAATATATATCTAGCAAAGAGTCGTTGTCATCAACTATTGGTATTGAACTTACTTGAGCTGCAAAAGCAAAGGAACATATCATCAACTCTATGGCAAAATGCAATAGAACTCCGAAATTGTAATTGTAAAATAGACTAGTGTTGCCACCACATTAACTATTTGTTCAGTATCTTTAGCATGCCCAAAAAAAAAAAAAAAAAAACACTCACACACACCTTGAACTAACAAATTTAGTGCTGAACTGAGAGAAGCACTTGGTCTCAACATTGCAAACGGTCGTTGATTTGCCTCTCCGATTTTTGGAACCCATGTACCCACGGGAATTGCTCCAATAGGTAGTTGAAGTATGGGCAATGAGCTAGAACAATGCTTAAAATACCTGCAAATACCTGAAAACTAACACCACTTGTGAGCAACAATAAACCACTACATTATAACTGCGAAGGCACTCTAAACGGCTTACATTTAAGTATTCCAGATAGTGAAGCGAGGTATAGTAGCTGCGGGTAAGAACCAACTTCAAAGGATGAACGAATAACTGGAACTGTAGCCACCTCATTTTGCAAAATTTTTAAAGCAAGATCTTTCAAATTATCATGTGGCCCGGCCTGAAAAAGAAAATGGTGATTGGTGAACAGACATGTCCATTATAAATTTGAACAAAAAGCCTTTTATCCATTATCTTACAGGTTCATAAAATTTCACAAGGAGCAGTTAATCAATTTCCCCTCTTTAGCCCCCGAAGCTTGGTATCCATGTAAGAGTTGATTCAAAAGTACAACAATATATCTGGTTTTCAATTACATCCACGTTGAACAACAAAGACTGAGTAATGCTACCTATGATAGCTATATTTTACCAGCATGATATATCTGACCCATAAAGTTTGCAAGATATAAGGCAACTCATCTCTGGGCTCAGCAATGACTGTTTATAAGAGTAGAACACAACATTGAACAAGATAGCCAACTTGAGGTATTTCTACATGCCTCCACATGCAAAAACACAGCACATAAAAAATATAATTTTTATCTCAAAATTCTCACATGGATAAGCCGTCTCCGCAGAGCTCTCCCATGGCCATCAATTTGTCCATTCAAATATGCTTTTCCCTCTTTCCAAGCAGATATGGTATGTGTTTCAAGCTCTTCTTCAGTCAGATTAGAGCCGTGGTTCCCAAGCTAAAGAAAATAGGCGAGTTAGTATAATCTTATACGTATATAGAACTTAAATGCATACACGTACACAAATATATATGCGTGTGTTTGTCTTGACTAAATATTGCATGAAAGACAACACCTCCATTGAAAATCAATATTGCTAACATTAAAAACGTCAAGCAAGCCACAGCAAAACAGCTGGAGTGGACTATCATTTTTGCACATTGCCCACGGCAAATGTTAAGGAGCTTTGTTAAGCTTCATAATAACAATATTTAGTGGCAGTTATAACAGATACTACACAAAATTCAGCACAATTAATGTTTTCGGAAAGCATTAAGAATACACTTTTATTTATTTATTTATTGTCTTCACTCTTGAGCAACAAAGTTAATACAATTACTCATGAGGTAATAACAAAAAATGTGTCTAAGAGAATTTGTTAATGGGTAAAGATCATAGTTCTAAACGAAGACATACCTCTCTTAAAATCAATATAAAATCCATCACGCTAAGAATACCAACAAGCTGTCCCCTAGCATCGTCCCAAAGAGGCGCCAGAGGGAATCCCTGGGAACAATTTAACTCTATAAAACTTATATCCAAGTGCTTGTTCAGCACAAATAACTAATAAACCATGTTAACAACAATAGAAAAATTCCAACAGCAACACGAAGGATAGCCAAGTTTCTGGTACAGTTCGCAGTTGTTTTCAGAGATGGACGTGACGAAACAAATATAAGACCGGTACAGAACTTAAATACAGAGAATCATGGAATTCCACCACTAAATTGTACTTTTTCCCAGGAATTGTGACATCCATCTTTCCTTCCTCCCAACAGATTCATGAAGTGGCGCATTAAAATTTAAAACTTTGGATGTCTCCTTCCAATAAAATAACAGGAATAAAAAGTTACAATAATTTTATCAATACGTACATCCACAACAATAAATTTAAATAAAACAAAACAAAAGCCTCACGAGTGTTGTTCTCTTTTTTCGTAGACTAGACTAGATATAGGGAAGAGTCTCAACAAGTATGTGTACAGGAACAAATATCATAAGAGCAGAAACCCCAACATTCTACGAGAGAGAGAAGAAGAAGAAGAACTCAAGTACCTGTTCGTGCAATATATGAAATGCTTGCTTTACAGGCAAATCAACAGACAATGTGAAAACCTGTATGCCAGATGCTATCAGACTATAAAACAGTGGAACTAATATATAAAGAATCAGTTCAACGAGGAAACTACAACCAGATTGCAGAAGAAAAAGAAAGGATTGATGGAAAAGCATCCAAACCTTGCCTGACTCGGGCATTAGCTCATATACTGTATGTGAGGACAAAAACATAGCAATACGGTGACGGGAGCCCTGCAGCTCAGCCTCTGATATCCTTGGCACTGCTTCAGTCAAGGAACCATCTGAAATGCGGACCTGGATGATACCATATAAAAGAGAGACAGAGAGAAAATCAGTTCTCGCCTTCTTGACAATAATAACAGCCCAGGGAAATGCCTCTAGTGCTTGAGATAAGAAAACACCAACAGCACATAATGTTAAGTAGAGGGCAGCAGAAAACAAAAAATGGCCTCTACTGTATCTAGACACAATTAGGGACGGAAATGAAACATTTCTACTGAAAGACGCATTGCAAGCTTCAGAGAATGTAGATGTTGGGAAATCCTTATCACTATCCTAAATCTTAAAATTAAGCCTGGATATAAACGAAAGCAAAAAACAAAACACCGATATTTTGTATTGCCACCAGATTTTCAAGGAACGCCACGTTACAAGCCAATTAGCGGAGCAATGTGCTATCCATGGTATTATCTAATGAAGAAATGCCAAATCTTACCGAATTCTGGAAGGCCTGGTTATCCACATCCATGCTAGGTCCAGGGATGTTAGGTCCAGGTACCCCTGAACCAAAATTATAATTAGGTTCTGCTGTAGCAAAGTAAAGTGTGTTCACTATTCCATACTCGCTACTCATATAGGGCTGGCACTCGTCATGTCTCCATTGTCCATCAACAAAAAACTTAAACTGCAAATAAAATATGTACAAATGAACACAAGCCTCCAAAGTAAAAACTTGATAATTTGATGCATTAATGTAACATACCCATACCTAACAATATGAATCCAAATGGAGGTAAATATACAGCATTGAAACATTCATATGCATCATTTTCAAATAGTAAATTTCATTGTTGCATCCCCAACTATTTGTTTTCTGTTTAATGGATCCCGGACTTTCAATTTTGGCAAAATACACCTTGAACTTTAAAGTAAGTAGCAATTAAGATCCAGTGACTAATGAATTTGACAGTTTACAACACGAGATTTGCACATAAAAAATGTAAAGATCATCATTTTCAAACCATATCACATGCAAAGGCCATGTCTCGGACTGCCAATTTGACAACACCATCAGCTATTAAACTTCAATTGCAATTGATTTTAAAGTTCAAGTTGCATTTTAACAGAGTTGAAAGTTCAGGATCCATTATGCAAAAAAAAAAAAAAAAAAAAAAAAAGAAAAGAAAGGTTTGGGGGGGCAACATTGCAATTTACCCTAAAAATGTATCCTAGTGTACCTATGCAGCAACTATAGAATAAAAAATAAATTCCATTTTCAACGATGCATAGGGTAAAGAATATGCATTTAAATATTACAGCCTGATATTTCACAATAACTTTTAACTGTAACTAATCGTCAAAAAGCATTTTTAGCCATGGCCATGCACATGGTTAGCATTCGAACATTCCTAAAAGTTCCAAATTGATTCTTATAGAAAATTAATTTTCTCTTAAAAGAAAACAAACAAACATAAAAGCACAAAACCGCCTTCGAAACCATCATACCACCAAGTGCAACTCGTACATATTATTACATCAATAGTCGTTTTCCTTCTATAACTCTAGAAGGTTTTTAACACAGCATATCCTAAGGGTCTAGTCGACCTTATCTATTGTATTTCAATATGACATTTGCCAAGAGTAGAATAACGACCTGTTTGGTATGGCTTTTAGACAGCCAGCTTTTACCTATCTGGGCATAAAAATAGCTTTAAAAGGCACTTGAATAAAATACTAAAACGGCTTTTGGCTATCGTAACGCCTTTCAGCCACGTGGATTTCGGTTGGAATAAAATTCATAAAAACAGAAAAACCTATTATTGGATTTTAATAAATGCTTTCTGTCTTCACTTTTATCAACGAACGAAGCGCTGGTTTAGAATATTTGCAAACAGTAATTTAACGCTTTTACTTCTGTTATTTTACAAAGTAAATGCAAAAGCAAAAGCCGTCGCAAACAAGCACACGTAGTCACCAACTATACGGTCCGTAATACTACTTAGTGCAAATCCAAATACATTAGCAACATTAAAAAAAAATATGGGTTTCCTAATGTTCTTTTACTACACAAGCGTCATCAACTAACCTGGTGGTGTCCCGGCACTACGCTGTAAATAGCCTGGAAAATAGTGGAGCTACCCTCAACCAGTGACATAGGAATAAGCTCAGACCACCTTCACCCCAGCAACAAAAAAAAAATATAATAAATAAATATAAACACCCATCATCTGATAAAGTCTTCGGCTCAAACGATCTCAAAGTTGAAAGTAAATAACTGCATTATATTCAAATCAAGTAAAAAAAAATTGATTTGTCCCATCAACAGAAGAAGATTGTAAGTGTGGAAAATTATGGTCTCACCGGGTGAAAGAGCCACTGACAAAAACACTTCTGCCTCCATAAGGCCACACGAACCGCATTGGAACCAGCACTGTGCTCGGAACCCCACCAACCTCCCGCCCTGAATCCATGTTCGCCCCAAACATTTGCCGCCAAAAAACCCAGAAATCTTCAAACTTTCCCGAGAATTCACAATCTTCGAAGAGATAATCTTTTCCACAACATCCACACTGAAATTATTTCATCATCCCCTGCGCAACAAATTCAAACCAAATTAGGATCACAATTTCACAGACAAAAGACCTCGAATTTCCCGAAAATTACTCAAAATCACTACACTTCCACTTCCCAAACGAATCACGCGACGAAAATTGGAACAAAAAAAAAACAATTCGATTAAACCATTGTAAAATTAAGCGAGAGGCCGGCTACTTACTCAACTCAGACAAGCTGAAATCGTACGGACAAAACCCTAACCCTAGAAGAAAAACGGAGAGTTCTCTGGGAAAATTGGAAATCGATTAGGAAAATGCCGAGTTGGGGAAATTACAATTGCAAACCCTAAACGAACAGAAATCGAATTTTATATATATAACTTAAAGGGAGGAACAAAAAATTAATTTTAAAAAAAAGGGAAAACATAAAAAGGGGCTTGGGTGAGAAAACCGAGAGGAGTTGCGATACGATCGAATCTAATTTTCGAACCCTAAAAAGACAGAAGCTTTGATAGAGATGTCTAAAAACAAAAAGAAATATAAAAAAAAACTAATTAATAAATCAAAAAGGAAATGGAAATGGGATTATTTTCCCTTTTTTGTTTTTGTTTCCGTTTTTAATTTTTTGGGTTTTGGGAAATGTGCGGAGCTTTTATGGAAACTAGAGATTTTCTTTTTTGTTACAGTGAGGGAAAATGTATAATTTATCTTTGTTTTTGGAAATGTGAAATTCTTTTTTTATTATTTTCCGTTGAATAAAAAAAAAGGTTTTGAGAGATCGTTGATCTGATTGGTCAGGGTACAGCACCGGACGCACGTGCGGCTGATGTGGTTGGTGAGTGAACTCGGAGGAGACGAACCGGACTGAAAGGGACAACCATGGACAAGTAAACTGTTTTTGTTTTTTTTAAGATAATCGCTCTTATTTTTAATATTTGGGTTATTTTTAAGTTTTCAAAAAACACCAAAAAAATATTTGATTCCTTTAAAATTTCATGTGTAATAATGACTTTAATTTCTTATAGTATTTGTCTCCCGTGATTCTCAGAATATTACAAATGGCGTAATTGTAAGAATAATAAAACGACAGTGAATAAAAAAGGAAATAATCAGTAAAATAGATCAAAATTGGTTTGTTTTCACAATCTTGTATAAAATTCTTTTTCTTAGAATGCTTTTGAGAGTACTTTGCTATCACTTTTGAGAACGACTAGTTTTATGACGTAACACTTAAAAGAGTATATTGTTTAATGAATATGAGAAATTCATTTATACAATTATTTAAGAATTTTTAAATATTTTTTAAAAAAATATGTATAAAAATAATAAGTAAAAAAAGTAAAGGCACATTTAAAGAAAATTATTTAAACTAACTAAAACTAAAATAGGAACATATTTGAAAAAAAAAATACTCATAAGAGTAAAGAAGGAATAATATATATTTTTAAAAAACACAAAAATTTAAAATGTAAAAAATTCACACAAGATAAAAAGGTTCAAAAAAGAAAAAAAAATAAGTGGAGGGGCTGTCATGCGACAGTCTCATAGAAAAGAGCTTTGGTTCTTTTATGTATTATTATAGCATCTCTAATGTAATGCTATAATTAATATGACAATTACAAATGTAACATTTGAGTGTAAAAAACACTCTCCAATGCAAAGCTATTTGTTGTGTCAAATTTCTCATATGATATACTTTGTGGCAAATGAGAAATTTGCCATATCACATGCAACTTTCTTATTTTTAATTATTTTAAAAATAAAAGTTTACTTTTACAACTTCCAAAGCTTAATAATTATAGGGAAAAGTATATTTAGCATTTCAAATAGCATTATGCATTAGAACAAAATTGAAAATAACATACCATATCACATTTTTTTATGTTAAATATACAATTAATATTAACATTTACATTGGAGATTGTCGTACATTCTAAATAAATTATAATGAATAAAGTGCATAAGAGTTTTCAAAAGAAATAAGCAAAAAGTAAGAATTAGAAAAAGTAAAATAAATTTTAAAAACAAAAAAAAAAGTGAGAGTTGACAAGTGGCAAGTGCAGAAAGAGATGGAAAGAGGGTTTAGCTTTTTATATATGCTATGGATTATGGATGTTATAAATTTGTCTCTTTTAAAATTGTTATTATGTATTATAGAAATATAATTTGCTCCAAAAAAAGATTTAAGTAATAAAAAAAAGAAAAGCACATATAATTTCAATTAAATGATAACTACTCACCAATAATGTAAATACAAACGTCTTAAACCCCAATGATTTGTTGAAAGAGCGTTTATTTAGAGAGAGAAAGTTCGAGGGGGAGGTTCTACAATAACAAGAGATAGTACATTTTGAAGTTGGTTATGTGACTTTTTAGGCGGGCTGCCAGTCTTTAAATTTCTTTGGTAAGATCATAGAGGTCACCGATGTTGAGTTCGTGGCGATAGAAGTATGAGTAGTCATCGAAATGGAGCTGCCAAGGAGAAGAAGCATCATTCTTTCACCGTAGATCTAAAATGTGTTTGCCGAAGGAACTAGGTTGTGGAAGAGAGGTGAGGAAGGTGGACTCGCGCGTGTGGCAGTGCCGCCCGTTGGCAACATCGCCTGAGATCCATATACCGTCGTATTTTTGATGTTTTCGTCGTCGTTTAAGATGCTTTTTTCTGGTACTGCTCCTACCATGTTTCACAGATTTCCAGCGTTGAGGGGCTTGATCTTGTTGGATTTATCTTTTGGGATTTTTGTAAAGTTTTTACAGTATTTGTGTTTTTTGTTTATATTAGCATTGTGGGGCTAGAGGGTGGTTTTTCCACCACTCTTAATCTGTGTTGTGTGGCTTGAGTCCATTTTGGGACTAGGATGTGGATGTCTTAGTCTTTTAGGTGTGACTGAATCATGTTATCGTGTCACTTATTGGAAGAGTCCTCTTTCGTTGTTGGGTTAAGGGTATTTTTATATTGTTTAGTCGTGTGAGTGACACATGCTTTTACGGGTTTAGATTTGTCTCGTATCCTAATCTTTTAGTGACTTTTTAATAAATTCTCATTGCCGATTGATTATTAAAAAAAAAAAAAAAATGCAAACCTCTTAGATTTTTTTTTAAACATTTTTTTTAGGACTATTATCATTTTCGCGTTTTTAAATAGAAAAATTTCATTCAACAGCTAAGTCGATATTAATTGTAAGCATGTGTTTAACTACAAACAAAAATTGTCATTCCATATTAACTTGTATTTTCTCGTGTCAAATACACGCAGGATTCACGTAAATCAAAGGTTTGGACAAACTTGTTTCAATCCTAAAACAGTTCAATCAAAGAAAAAAACAAACTCCGCTTAACAATTGAGAATCGAAATTAATTTGGCTCCGTTCATTTCACTGATTTAAGTTTAAAATTTTGAGTTTTGTTACAATAAAAAACTCTAAAAAACAGTCACATCTAACTTTTTTACTATAGTAAAAAGCACTCACATAAAATCACATTTCAATTCGAATTAAAACTTGAATCAGCGAACTAAACGGACAATTTATTTCTCACTCTTTTCTCAATAATGTTATCTAATGGAATGTTTCCCTCTTTATATTCATTAAATAAAAAGGATGAAATAAATAAATAGAAATAGGAAACATACTTTATTTTCATTTCTAAGCTGCGAAAAAAAAGGGTAACATTCATTCTATTCGTTTTTAAAGTAAATTGTATTGTTGCATTTTAAATGTTTTTGTTATAATATGTTTTAAATTTTTAATTTTAACAAATTACATCTTCAATTATTAGAGCGATCATAATTGAGTTTTAATAATTAATCAGCGTTATTAAAATTGCGATATGATAGTATTCATCCATGAATGTATTAGTAGGTGACAAACTAATTGTCATTCTTTTAAATTTGACAATTTTGTCACGGCTTTTTTGCATGAAAGCCCCTTAAAATTTGCGTGATTAGCATATTGATCTTTAAACTTTAATTTTTGACAATTGACCCTTTGAATTTGAAAATTTGTTGCATTAGTAGCCCTTTGGTAACATCTGTTAAATTGTATAAACTATTATAAATTTACTTACCTACCATTTTAATAGATTTTTATGTGTTGAACTTTTTAAAAAAATAAATTATATATTATGCTAACTATCTTAATATTAGGATAACTAATTAGTAATTAGATGTTTTTTAATCACACCAAATTAATCATCTAAATTATGATAACTAATTAGTAATTAGATTTTGTTAATTACTCTCTTCTTTCGTGTTAAAAGTTGAGACATGGTTACTCTACATTATCAACATATAAAATTAGATTTAACATTACATTGCATATTATAGAAAACAAAAATCAACTTAGGATATAGATTAAAAAATGAAAAGCAATAGGCATAACACAAGAATCAAATTATAAGCATGAAGAAAAAAGCTATCTTAATTTCATTTAATTATTTACATTGATATAAATTCGTCCATGGCACTAGTAAAAAAGAAAGAAAAAAAATATCAGAGGAAGTGAGCAATGAGATGCGAGAGGCGTGAAAGTAAATTATGACATTTTTAAATTTTTTTTTTACTTTTTACTTTTCTATTCACATATTTATTAGTAGAATTAAGGGTAAAATTGTAATTAATATTTACTATTAAGATTTGGAGTGCCAATCCGGTGAACATGAGGGAGTGCCAATCTCATTCTTTAACCTCAAATTGGTGTGAGACCCACACAAATTCACTCTCATTCCAAGATAAAAATAGATAAGTAAACATGAGGTTGATTCTGATTCTCAATTATCATTTTTCACTCCTAATAAGTAAACATGCCATTAACGGTTTTAAGGTCTGCATGTGAGGCTGTGAGCCTTCTCTTAGGACATTTGGTATTTACTTCTCATTAGGAATTAACCCAAAAAAAAAAACAAAACAAAACAAAACGATAATGACACAAGCCCACAATTGGTTACGTCCTCTTCACCCTCATATTGCAGATCGATGCGATGTGTTTGGGGAGGGGGTATCTATAAATATGGTTAGCTGGTCCCATCCCAAAGACTAAAAGAAAAGAGGAAAAAAAAAAAAAAACTCCAACCTCCAACATCTTGCCCCCGTATGCATTTTCCAGATTGTGACTCAATAAGGAAACTCATTAATTCCTACAATTATATTGATTATTTGTGGTTAGAAAGGCAAGTTCGTTACCTTTGAGAAAACATGTGCACACATAAGATTAATGGAGAATTTTGAACATAAGGTTAATGGAGAATTGACAAAAGGAGAATTAACAACCGTGGTATGAATCTTAGGGCAAGAACTTTTGTTAAGCTAGCTGTTGTTCACCATGGCGGCGCCACCATCTTCCTCTTCCGGCGACGGCAACCCAACCCCTCCATCAGATTAGTTTTGTCTCTCTCGTGGGTTAGTTTTAGTTTTAGGTTTTGCCTTTTTTTTTTTTTTTTGAGGTTGAAAGATGTATTGTTAGTTAATGTCCAATTTTGCCCTTGATAAGTGGTGCAAGTAAAAGGCACATGGTTAAAACCCTTAAGTATTTAACAAATGTTACTAAAAGTAGGGGTAGC